GTTTGCATCGAATGATACTTCCCATCCCTCAAAATCCTTTCCAAATCACTCGAACTATCACATTGTTCTGAAATACGCGACACATCGTTACCAGGGCAAAAATAGTCTACGGGCTCTCATAAAAAACTGCAGAGAGTAGGGCTTTTGCTGTTTCTACCGTGCACAATCTAAGGAATAGTTCAAGGGAAGAATGCATAACCTAAGGGATTGTTTGAGGGAGGAATGTCACCAGCAGTTTTTCGGGTAAGCAGGTTAAAACTTCAGAAAGAGTGAAAGAAGACGGTAGAGTTACCTCATAGTTCCAGTCGTACTCTATCAAACACTTCTCCGAAAAGGCTGGCACCATACCGCTATCCTTACAGAACTGTTCAATCATTTGCCTTTTGATTTCCGCTGAGGGTTCACCAGACATTTGAAGACCACTAATTGACTGAAAAAGCAATAGCATCGAATAAAATGGGAAAAATTAAAAAGGTGTCCCATGCAGTTTCACGGCAGTAAAGATGATAGAAAAAGTCGGAAACCTGAGCTGCTTGCACAACTGGATTGGCAGGGGCAGGAGGAAGAGGTGGCGCCGGTCCCGCCGATGCTGCCTAAAACAAGAAAGGTGAGTACGGGTAACGAAAATTGAGTAAATCCACATTTTAATGCTTAATAGGATGTAGAGTACTTTGTTTAGCATTAATTTGTATCGCGCCATTCGTGCTGGAGTGATTCCACTGACGAACAGCATGTCGGATAGAACAGCTATAGATCTGAAATAAAAATGCACCAAATAAAAACTTCTATCTGACATCAAAAATACTGTAGACAATGAAGGCAAAATAGCTTACTCATTCTCACGAGGAGATACTACGAATGATCGCGTAAAGAAGTTAAGTTGTGGCACTTCTCCTGGTTTAGCAAATTTTCCATCCTCGAATAGCCCTTGTACAGAAAACGCCAACAGTTCTTCCTAAATCAGAATTACAGGCACTACTACTCTGTCAAGATTAACGACACTAAAATTGGAAACAGAAAAAGATGAGAATATTGTACCATATAGCACTATAGAAAGGGCGTACACGGGTTGAATAATAACCACGAGTAAATTGTGCATTTTACATTAAACGAGAATCTATGTGGTGTGATGGCATCGAAGGTGGAAAGGAACAGTAAGAGATAGAAGGGTATCACGACGGTCGAAGTAAAGACAAATAAGAGCAACAAAAAGTAGACCACACAAATGAAGAGAGAAAACAGTAACTCCGCTCTTCTAAAAAAAATGCTGACATGTTATGGATTTCTCGTAACTACGGATTCCAAGGAGCGGATTTGAATGTGCCCTGAGACACCACCCGTAAAAAGAATATGCGGAAGTTAGCACGTTTGAAATAACAAGTCGAGCTATAATAGGGAAGACTAACGAAAAAGAACAAGGCTGCATTAGATAATCGTGTTTCTCCTAGTTGTAGTACAGCCACCACGTTCCACCGAAACTTACAGATATCAAATGGGTGTCCACGATGAAAGATTCTGTGTAGTGGTTCGTTATGGGCAACTTGGAAAGGGCTACAGCAATGTCCATAGCTCCTAAAGTATAAACATTGCATTCGACCCAATACCTATGAGTACCGAATGAATACTAGCCAGAGATCTGAGGTTACCTCGATACGTCCGACTACTCCGATTTCGTGACCATCGATCTTCACATAAAACGTTATGGGATGACCGGATATATAGGTTGAAACATGCGCTGGAAGAAATAGTATAGGTTATTGCCACAAGGACGGCATCATAAAGAAATGGGCAAAAATCAGCTGAGAGCACTACTGATGCATAAGTCCTCCTTAGTAAAATGAAAAAAATCTTTAAGAAATCCTCTGACTTACTCATCTGGGTAACGCAGTGGCCCCTCAGCACTTATATCCTTCATATTTGCGATTGTCACAGTGAAAGAAGACTGGAAATATGGTGCTACTTTTACAATGAGACAGCTGCAGGTTTAAATTTTCGCTATCCTACCAAAAAAAGATGTATTGTATAACCTACATTGTCCGCATCATAGGCTTGCACTAGGCTTTTCCTCGTAATGGCTCCGTCCTCACCATCGTACAACTTGAAGTATTCAACAAGAAACCGTTCCACCAACACCCGCAAGGCATCGTTCCCATAAAACCCTGGCTGAAAAGCAAGGACCATCTAGAATGAAAGAAAGAAGCAAAATGAAGACAAGAAGCTGGGCCTACCCTGCATGGTGGTTCCGATGTTACTTCATCATCATCCAAAGACTGCACATGCACCGTTGCTGGTTGCACTGGAGCACCATCCTATAATTGGGATGGTCGATCCTCTAAAGGCGAAGAGATAAACTTGTTAAGCTTACCAGTATACAAACTCTCGGGAACACTTGATGAACAGCGCTGAAGGTCATGGTATGAAAAGGAATTCAATAAGTAAAAATTACGACGGCCACATTGAGTCCCGACTGTGATCCAGTCTGGACGCATGGGATTTAGAAAGTTCCTGGGAGTGCAAGGACGCATCACGTAGAAACAACTTATAACGAACTCTACTACAAAAAGACTTCCAAAAGAACACAATAAACAAAAACAAAGCTCGGTGCTCCAAATATGCCTAACAATGGACCTGAGGTAGCCTGAAGCTGTGGTGAGCTGCTCGACAAGAGGATTTCCTTCGAAGAATAATGTTTCGACAGGCAAGCCTTTCAGTTTCTCCAACTCGCTGATTTTGTCAATCTGTAATGAATGTTTCTACCGTAACTTTTCACATTACTGAGTAGAAATGAGCTCCCAGAAGTTGAGCTTCAAAAAACTGCAAAAACAGCTCAGTCCACCGTCAATGAATACTCACAAGAGTGAGATGACACTGAAATTACCTGATTATTCGATAAATCTAACACTTTCAGGAATTTTGTAACGCTCGTTAGGACAGCAGCGTAGTCCAAGAATCTCAGTCGATTGCCCTGAATTAAGCATATCGATGCAAATTTACAACAAGAAAAAGAACTCCCAAAGTATGAGCAACCATAGAAACAGACAACATGAATACAAGGAGAAAGTAAAAGACGGCAAAGAGGAGCTCCTAGTCCCATCAATACAGAGAACCAAATCTATCTTATACAACCTGTCTCCCCTCCCCCGAACGATCGATTCTGTCTGGTTTTGTCATTTAGTACCAAACCCATGTATTAGAGTACTGTCAGGGTGCATTTCCAGACAGAACTGATCCACAGTAACTCTTCCCTCTATGAAAACGATGTTATTCTGGGACGAATGAATTTAAAAGCAAATGTACCTGCAGGCTTAGGGCTGTTATAGAGCCGAACTTCTCATCAATTCTATCAACAACTGTTAGCATTACATTGTTCTTGTTGAGCATCATGTGCAAATCACGTTCTTTGAACTCTGAAAGGCTTTCTTCATAAAAACCTTATGGCATAACGGTATCAAACAAAACTCACTTGAATCTAAGGCAAACTCGCTGAGATCAAGCGACCGGGTGTCGTGATTATACCGACTATCAACGACCATCTGAAAAATTTCTGAGGTAAGGAAGGACTACTACCAGCTAGCTTCTATGATAGCTTCAAGATCAGAACACATTAGAAGTAGCAGCTTTTCTAGACCTGTATTATAGACGTTTCTTCTTTAGTCAGACGAGTCCATGGAGCCACAACTTTGTCGACAATAATTGTCATACGATCTCCAGTTACTTTGTGAACAACGCGACGTGATATAGCTCGGCATGCTTCTGCGGAGTCCTCGCTCTGAAAATGTTTAGCCTGGCCCACGACGTCTCAGAGGGATCGAAAGGTGTTTTAAAGTAATTGACTCCATGCTATCGACCAAAAGAAATGCGGTCACCATTCGAGAGCTTACCTTCAGGAAGAACTCAACGTCTCCTCGTGGTGTGACCGACACTAGCAAGGGTTTGATGTCTTCGATTTGTTGATGGAGTTGCTTCATTATCCAAGGAACCGTAAACTTCCGGCCAAAGGGTATCTACAAGAAGAAGTTAAATAAAAACAATGAGACCTCTGAGAAATGCTCATAACACAATTGAACCGCTGGTTTTAGAGTGCCAACTTTCCGACAGTTCCCAGGGAACAAGGTTCCGACTCCTATTAGAAAAATGATCGAAACAACAGTTTACTTGAGTAAAACTACCCACCCGAATTTTGTAAACCATCTCTGCATGGCGAGAAACACCTCCCGCGCTTCGTAGTGTCTGTTCGTCCTTCTTGCCTCGACGACTTCCTCCTTGTCCATGCATGACCCTGCCAGCCAACATATTTATGACACGTGTTACGGTCCCTGTTGGCCTCTGTCTTGGTCTTTCCTCTGAAACATTGTGGATTTATCAGGAGATAGGAATTTTGAGAAATCGGAATTCATGAAGAGACGTTCAAAATGATGCTTTGACCTGCTTCGAGGCCGCCTCCCATACCTCTCCCTTCTAATCATTCTTAGTGAGCTTATTAAGGATATCTCTCATATGTACAAAGTCAGACAAATCCCTCGTTACACCATTCTAGGTTTCGAAACGCATAAGTCATGACCGAACCATATCGATCCCGCCAAAATATCCAAGAAAAACCTCAACAAAAACAAGTGAGTTAAAACATCTAAAACACATTACCTTCTTCGTCATCTACGTATGAGCTGACAATGTCGGCATCCAATTTTGAAAAACGATTCTTCGAAAGATGTTTGACATCACGACGATTACTCCTCCCAACAGGCATGACACTACAAAAAAAACTGATGCTTCTTTCCAAATTTGCACATCACCGAAACGAAGAAGAAATCAAATAATGCAAAAAACAACTTCAAAACAGCCTATTTAACATCTACAGCTTCGAAATGTTTATGATCGTCGGGAAGTCCAATTAAATTTGAAATGTGTCACTAGCTCAGCTCGGCCTATGATTTGTAAAGAAAAAGGAGCTGGTCTGGAACGTTCTAGTGAACAACTGATCTGAGAGATGTAAATTTGAAAAAAGACAGCAAACCAAAAAGTCCTAATGGTATTGCAGTTCTACTTCGGTTCTTAGTTTTCTGAGCACGATTTGTGTAACTGTTCCCTATTAAATGTCGTTTTTGCACAAGCGGGTAGAATTCCAAGTCTTTAATTTTCAATTTGTGATGCATCTGAACTTTCCCACAATTACACCGAGAAACCCCTAGTCTACTTTGTCAAACCTGTAGAAAGACTCCTCACAGTCACTTTACAGAAAAACTTCGACACCAGCATACTCCTCTCAAGATCAACGAAACGAAATGAAGAAAGTTGTGGTTGGGTGCCCCTCACTTAAGGCCCGGATTTCCCTATTAGGTTGAAAGACGAGAAAACCGTAGAGTTAACGGATTTCGGAAAAATCAACTGCGATGACTCACATGACAAGGCCGTAGCAGGCGGGCGGTCGCAGCGCGAACGTTTCCTCAAAACCTCGCTGGAGCACGGTAGAAGAGAGGGCTGGAAGCAAAGTTTGGAAAGGAACTGAGTGGTCCGTGGGACTGATAGTCGAAAAACAAAAGGTGCAGATCTACATGATAGAACTCAAAAAAATTATTTTTTATAAAAATGTCATCGGGACTAAAAGTACTGTGCAAAACCGAGTTCATTAGCAATAAAATAGGTTGTGCTTTAATTCGACGCAATCACAAAATGACCTAAAACAAATGACCCCTCCAACTGCATTTGAATCACCGTCTTTTCGCTCTTGTCCCGCAGCAGTTGTCGCCTGGCGGCAAAAGAAAATGTCTCTGACTTACCTCCTCCTGGGAGCTTACCTTCGGTAGGATTCCCAAAGTTGACATAGTGTTCCTATGACTAGGAACCGCCCCACATTGAAAATCAAGTCAGAGTCAAACACGTGGAAAACAGGATAAAAATGAGTTGGCGGTAATGAAGGTACAGGTTAGACAAGGAAAAACGTGTAAAACTTTGAGTTTTGCTTGAATTCATCACGTTTGTTCAAGTTCCAACTCCTCTTTCGTGACCGAGCCATCAAGTTACTCAAGAACTTTTGGCTGTACAACTGGGAGGGTGATTAATGCATTGGACATTCACCCAGACAAATGATACAGTGTTCATCTAAGAGAGATGGAGAAAGTCAGAGAACTCACCGTTATGATCCTGCGCCCCTTTCGACATGCCTGGAGGAAAAAGTAAAGCCTGCCCGTCCATCCCCATCACAACTCCTGAGCCTCATCCGACTTCTTTCAGATATCAGAACCCAAGCTGAGATATTTCCTGAAGTACGGAAATTCTGAGTTGCTCTGATTTCCAATCCATTTTGGACTTGTGCATTCCTACAGTTGAACTAAATGGGAATGCCTCTCTAGAGCCGTAGTGGCGTGAGATCAATCTCACGCAAACCTCCATCTTCCCCTCAATTCGTGAATCCAAACCTATAAATTATTTCCACCCTGAAACTGATGCAAATTTGTAAAGCCTCACGGATCGGGCAAAGGCAAGTACGACTATTTTCGTGCTCCTGTGCTAATGTGGTAGCGCCGCTACGCAGGCGACACAACTTTTTTTGAAGATTCTCAGCTGGTCTTCATTTGATTAATGGTATTTGTCGATGAACTTTTTATCTTATCTTAATGTCATCCGCATTCTAATTATCGATCTTCTTTCCACTTCCTAATTCTCATTTCTCATCAGTATTGCCTTAGTTCAACGCTTGTAAAGGCATGCTAGCGTGGTTTTTTTGTTCAATAACTTCCAATTGATATGAAAAAAAAACTAGGCTGAATACGACATATTCCAGTCATGAGCGATAGCCACCTGACTGCATTGCGCCTGCCACCATTCGGACTTATCGGAAACAGCGATGGAGGTATGATTGAAGATTTGTGACGTTTACAAATTTTTCAGTGTTCCTAACAATAGTTTTAAAAGAGGCTAAACCTGGAATAGGAAGGGTTTGAAAGAAAGGTCTCCTCTTCTATTGTATAGGTTGAAGGCCCTCTCATTCTTGAACTTTAAAACGAACAGACGGAAAAACGAAGACCCTGCCCAGATTTCCTTTAACCTTCCTCAGGGCCTCAGCAGCTTTCTAGTTATTTATATTGTGCCCTTGCGTTTCATCTCATTTCAATGCAAGGTTGGAATCTGTTGGGATCACGGTTTTATAGCTCATTCCAAAATGATTTTCAATGTTGTAACAATTTAGTTTTGTTTACATACGTAATTCTTAATCTTCAGGTTCATACTCTGGTGAAATCGATCATACTGGCTTCCTTTCGGACAACATAGGGTCATTGTTCCTGAACCCAAATTTTTCCGATGTCATGTTTGTGGTCGACGGCGAGAAATTCCCTGCCCATAAAGTTCTTCTTGCTGCTCGTAGTGAATACTTCAGGCAAGAATAGCTCCAGTCTACTTGAAAGAGGACTTAGCATAATGAAGCTTTTTACAGGGCTATGCTTTACGGAGGGATGAAGGAAAGTGATGAAGGCGAAATCGTACTTGAAGAGACTAATGTTTTCGCGTTTCGTATTCTTCTGAGGTAGGTTCTTTAATCTTTTAAGGGAGTGCTGTAAGTTCGTTACTATCAAAGGAGTAATTAATCTTCCTGTCAATTATTCAAGGTATATTTACACTGCTAAGCTCACTTTGCTCGAGTATAAGGAAGAACAAGTTATGGAAATTCTCGGTCTCGCTCACAAGTACGGTTTCGTTGAGCTTCAAAATGCTATCGCCGATTATTTAAAGGTGGTTCCTTTCCCTTCACCAGTTTCCCTTCGAATTCTTGAATTAAATCTATCGGTCATTGTAAAAACTCTACTTACTGCTCACATAATGACTCTCTTTGGTGTACATTTCAAAAAGAAATAAAGTAATCAAGAGCTCAAGTTGTCATATTTCAGGCTATATTGAACAACAAAAACCTTTGCACTATTTTCAACATTTCCCAGTTGTATTTCCTAAACGATCTCACCGAGTATTGTCTTGTATTTGCGGATCAAAACGCCTCAGAAGTACTCACAACGCAGGTAGGTATGATTAGATCGTACAACTGCGGATGGCGTTTCGCCATAGTTTAATTACACTGGTTTCAAAAAGAACAGCCTAGAGCGCACAGATACTTCTCATCCGTATCTATCGAAAAATTCACTTCAAAAGAAGTATAACTATAGTCTTAGGTTCGAGCATGAAAACCCGAGCGCTTATCTGAGCTGCTCATTCGTGTCTGTTAAGAAACCTGTTACAAAATAAATGATCATGAATAAGTAGTTACGGCTAGATGTTCAGAATAATGTTGTTTACCCAATTTCCAGGGGTTTCTGCAATTATCTATCAATGCAGTCACACAACTTATTGCTCGCGACTCATTTTGTGCTTCGGAGATCGACATCTTTTGTGCGATACGTGAATGGGTGAAGGCACGACCAGAAATGCAGGTAGAACAGCACGCATTCATAGGTATATCGAGAACCATTGCTAATTAGGTTCCCTCATTTCAGGCAGCTGCTGTCGAGATGCTCATGAAATGCCTACGACTTTCTCTAATCAGCCAAAGAGATCTTCTTAACATAGTGCGTCCATCGGGTCTTTTTGCTCCAGATACAATACTGGATGCGATTGAAGAACAAGACAAGAAACGCACCACTGATCTAACTTACCGTGGTTTCTTGAGTGAGTTGAACACTTTTGCCATACTTCTTTGCCAACAACTGTGCTTACATTGTTCTACTATTTGTTACAGCACCCAATACAAATATTGCTACCGCTCAGTTAGGCGCTGTGGTTATTTCTGGGGAATCTCCGAATGTACTTTTGAGTGAATCAGGAGGTACACAGCATTAATTTTTTTCTTAATTTTACGGCGCCTGAAATTCTTCTAGGAATCCCTCAAGATGGAGATCGTGGACTCACTCGACATGCAATTGGTGATGAGGAAGGGATAATTGTCCAACTTGGTCGGCCGTACATAATCAACAAAATAGTGCTCCAGCTATTTGATCGCGAAACCAGAATGTATTCGTACTACGTGGAGGTGCTTTATTTCACCGTACTCTTCTATCTATGGTAAACACGATAGCGGTACCAGTTGTCTAATGTTTTATTCCTACTAACACGTCGATGTCAACCGTATCGCCTTGAAAAAGTTCAAACAACGGAATGTTTTGTTACTATAGTTTTCGAGCATTTAATGATGATGACTGGGATTGTATTGTTATTACTGCAGATCAGCATGGATCGACGTGACTGGGTACGTGTAATTGACCATACAAAATACCTATGCCGCTCTTGGCAAACCTTATACTTCCACTCACGTGTTGTTAGGTAAGTACTTTTAAACAAATAGCTCTGTTGTCAATGTACATATTTTATGTTGGTATGACTTTCTCGAGTCAGAAAGTTGTCAGTAGGCTTAGGCTTATTGAAGAGAAAAGTCCCTAAATTTGAATGATAGTCAAGGTATATTGGAAGTAAACTTAGCTACCGTTGAAGGGGAGGGGGTGTACTGTCCCACTGATATCTGCAATTTTTTCTATCGGTATGCTTACTCTTTTCAGATATATACGGGTTGTTGGCACTCATAACTCGCAATCAAATCGAATGTTCCATTTGGTTAGTCTAGAGGCGTTGAATTCATCAGACGAGTTTACCATTGATCCAAAGACGACACTACTTAGTATGCATTTCCCAACACTTTTCCCTTTTCCTGTAAATAGACATATTTCTCATTCTTTTAGTTCCTACCACAAACGTAGCCACTATTGAAAATAATGCCCTTGTCATAGAGGGAGTGTCAAGGTGCAGAAATGCTCTTCTCAACGGCCAGGTAAGTGCATTAGTAAAGGCATCTTATTTTCTTGAATAGGCGATTTTCATTAAACAACTTCTTAGAAAGCTTCCGGTTTTTCTCTCATTTCTACGTGTAATGCATTCAGAATTCTGACTACGATTGGGATAATGGTTATACGTGTCATCAGCTGAACAGTGGAGCAATTACTGTTCAGTTACCACAACCATACTTGATTAGTACCATGAGGTATAAACCTTTTGCCTGGCAGTTCTATTCATGCTATGGAATCATCCAAGTATATGAAGAAGCTATTATGGGGCTTCAGAAAGGTGCAAGAAAATCACTTGCTCTCGGTTCAGATTGCTTCTGTGGGATTGCGATGATCGATACTATTCGTACTACGTCGAAGTTTCAGTCGATCAAATCAACTGGATAAAAGTTATTGATCGAAGGATCAAGCAGTGCAGGTAACTTTTGATCTAATTTGCTGAAGCAGCATGTGAAGGTCAATTTATCAGATGGGTTTTACGAGGCATAGAATGCTTTATTGGCACTTGGTATTGTTATTTATGACGTTGTATCACCAAAAACACCTTGGCTAATCACATTTCAATCATAACAATTTCATCAGGATTCAGATCTGGCAGAGCGTCATTCTTAATTTCGTGGCGTTTCATGTGTAGCTGGAAAGGGTACATTCTGTAGTATGATACTAGAGCCAGCTTGGAATGCAAACGTTAAAAGTAGTAGAAGAAAGTTGTTGCGAGAACATTTGCTGTAGCTACCTGTAGGTGGTCGCTTCTGGCAAAACATCTGGAACAGGCAGGACAGCGGAAAGGTTTAGCACCAGTGTGCTTCCGATAATGCCTCGTAAGTTCATCAGATCTTGCAAAAGTCCAGGAGCATCTCGGCCATTGGCAAAAATAGGGTTTTTCTCCTGAAATAAAGTCAACTGTTGATCTGGTCTGACAGTTACTGGTACGGTAACTGGAAGCTAGGCACGACAACAGGGCTAGGAGGACCTCTCTAGGGCGTTGGAGACATGGGACAGAACAAAAGCGAGTATGATCTTACTCCGTAGAAATTCAGATGCACATGGGAGTTAAACTTTAGGATATGATATTTACTCTGGAGAAATATCTCGTCAATGAAGCAAGATGTTGACTGTTCTCAAGGCTAGGAGGGTATCAACCTGAGAAAAAGCATATTATAGAAGTAGTATATAGCAGGGAAGGGTACAAGGAATATATAGGTATAGTCTTTCATCAGACCGACTGTTCATACACACGAGCCGAACGCGACAGTTTCCGGATTGGTATAATTGGATTGGTATATTTGTTTACTGATCGGCTCAGTCAAGGAGACTGCAGTGATGTGAGGAGAAGGGCAGGCGCACCTGATGATTAGGAAGCTTTGGCTCAGTGTCGCGTTACAGAGGGATAAGTGAAGTGTAACTAAACTAACTATGCGTTGAACATTTTGATCCCTCCCAATTTCATGAACAGTTTTGGAATTGATATATCAGAATCCTAGATTTTGGTATTCAACCTTCGCCCAGAACCAAGAAATTTCGATGTGAATTCTGTGAGCCCTCAGTTTTTGGGCGAAAATCCCTCACAGAAGGTGAAGTAATAGTAGACTGTAGCGTATCAGGGATTAATAATAATTTATACCTGTATGAATTCGTTGGTGAGCTTTGAGATGCGAGCTTTTGGTGTAGACTTTATTGCATCCTGGTTGACTACACCGATGGATCCGTCTATTATCCAGTGATTTTCGGTTCCGTTTTGAAGATTGGAGAAAGTGAAGTGGATTCAGGGACGACGGCGGATAGTAGACCTGAATTCCGTGGTCAGCTTGAATGTTTGATAGGCTTCCAAAGCGTCGAAATAAGAGCGGGAGATGGAGTCTTGGAAATAGTTCTCTGTTGTGATTATACAAGCGACTGTGGAGACGAATACGGGGAGATTAAGCAATTTCAATACTGAAGCGTGGCCAATAAAAGAAATACCGACCTTGGATTCAATATGTGGAGGGAGTCGATGAACGAAATCAACTTCTTCCTCAGAACATTCACTAAAAGACTTTGAGCAGCCGGAACTGGTCGACATTGGAGGAGAAGGCACGCGATGGATCGGTTTGGTCTATAATCAGTGCAATGTGAGGCCGTTGGTTAACAGCTTGTGATGTACTCCAAAATGATTCGGTTACTCCTCAGATCGTAAACGCCTAGACTACCTCCCACTCACCTCACTGGGCTGTGTGCTAGCATATTGACAAGTAGGTCGGTGTTCCTTGGTTGTTGATGGGAAAGGAGCAGTAACAGGGAAGGGACTGTCTGAAAGTTACGGTAGATGAATCATAGAAGGAGCCGTGTTTGTAAAGAAATTGTTCTCACCATAGAAATTGACAGGATTCAGAGGTTGCTGTGGCGGTAGAAGAGGCCTAGGGTTCATTGAAGCATTTGGAAAGGCAGTATCTACCTGAAATAGACTCTTTAAGCAGAGAAGGGTTGATATATTGGGAAGACCTGTTCAGTAAGAATAATTGTGAGAGATTGTGATGAGAATACCACGAAAACGAAAGAAAACTGACCGTTTCGGAGTGGACATGTGAATGATATTGTACACTGCAACTTGGCAAATACATCACTGGAAACATTTGCATAAGAAGGCATGAAAAGCATCGAAACTTTTTTACGACATTCAAACGTCTTTTGTCCGGTCCACGAAACGTTTCTTAGGAATGGGCATGGTATTTCTAAAGTATTAGTTGCAGCTATTGTCATTTATTTGAAAAAATTGATAAAATACAAATTTTTTTATAAGTCTTTATCTTTTTTAAAGTAAAAAANAAAAAATGACTGGAATGTTTTGGATTGTTGAATTGAAAAGTAATCTAATACAATTAAGACATGTTAACAATAGACAGTCACTTCGAAAATCTTAACTCATCACATTCCGGAAGTATATAGAAGTTTAGATTTATAGAATGTAAATAATAATTTTTGATTTATTAATAATTATTTTTGGTTTGTTGTTGTTAACTTAATTGGAAGACAAATAAATCATTAATTCAAAACATCGTTATCACTTTGGGTCTAAAGGGTAGGCTGCGCATTGCTGATTCAATCCAAATTCTAATTGTTCGGTTTTTTTGGGAACTGCATCTTTTGGTACTGGTTTCTCGGAATGATAAATTCCTTTTTTATGAGGAGATCTTCGAAAAAAAAATAGACTCTTAAGGAAACTAGGCTTCATTTTTTTAGAAACTTCTTTTTCTCTATGGAGACTGTTAGATGGTACTGTGGTGCCCGTTGTGCGAAAGAAACAGTAACCTTATGTACAGTATCTGGGAAGTGAGGGTTTGCACAGTGCAGTGGCTGACAGCTGCCTATCACCTGCTGAAGACCGTATGTATTGCGAGCATTGTTGGCGCATTTTTGGAGTGAAGGACTCATGGCGGTGACAGTGTGTTTAGTCTGGGGATCAGTGCTTGAGATGACCAAAAGTGACCAAAATAGGGCTGGTTCGATGTCTGAGTAAGGCCACTCGTGACACTTATCTTTTCTGTTTTCCATTTTGAGGTTTGAGAACTGTTAGACGAAAAACTAGTTAGATTTTGTGGGTATTTTTTTCGAAGTGCCTCGATTTGTATATGATAAAGCGGTACTTTGAACCTTTTGAAAACGATGAGATTGATACTCATTTATTTCTGGACTTATATGTCCTTGCTGGGTATTACGGAGTAATGCCGGAATATAAAATAACTTAAACAAATACTGGTTCCGCTCGGGATGCCAAAAAAAAAGGCCGGATCGAGGCCTCATCGAGCGAGGCTCAATTTTTGAAAAAAACTGTTCAGTCAAAAGCGTACAGCCAAATTTGACTGCTTCTTAAGTTCTATTTTTGAATAAAGTGAAAGAGGGGTGAAAGTAGAACGAATAGTTGCAACGGTGTAGGGAAATGGCCCAATGAAATGCGGTACGCTACTGTATCGCTGACCTTTGCTATGGGCGTGGTCCTTTGGAGTAGACGGTGTGCACAAAACGCTGTGTCAATAACGGTGATAAACATCAAGTCTATTCAGGACAGTAGGAGACATCAAAGTTACTATTTAAGGAGTTTTGAGGTTTGTGTTTGTAGTTTTTGGAAAATGATGATATATAAGTAATAAATGTTATGTGAAACTAGGCTGAAGGTGGCTCGTGGTGTTTTACATTTGAGATATTTCAGTATTTAGTATGACACAGTAATCGTCAAATATTTGGCGCTACTTTTCCGTTCTACTTGATTACTCTAGGGCTCTATTTTATAGTTCTTATCTTTAAAAAGTGCTGTATTTTACTTCTGTCAGCTGTGGACTAATTTTTTGGAATGAATCGGCGCAGATGCCTCCACTTTTACATTATTCAATGTCTCAACATAACTAATGAGAACATATATAATAGGTAGTATGATTGGGCAGAAGAAAACTAAGCAGCCCGGCTGTGTTGAGTGCTTAGCCAGTCAGGTGGAAAGAAACTAGAAGTTTCCAGCGTGAATTGCTTTTTATTCTTTGTGGTTATTGCTGGGAGTGGTAGTGACAAAACGGTGACGAAAGTGATGAAGCTGTGTTGGAATGGATTCTTTGTTCCCAAATCTCGTGAGTGTATTTCTGCTGATATTTTTTTTCATTGCAGAAGCTGGCAACTTTTGGAACTCGCTGCGGCCGTTCCTGTGGTGTTTGTGAAGATTGTCGGAACTCATAATTCGGCTAATGAGGTATTCCATTGTGTTCACTTCGAATGTCCAGCTGATCCACACGCTCCACCCCCGGATGACCGATCAGTTTTGCCGAAAGATGTGCTGCTCAGCGAAGAGATGGAACAGTAGCCAATTTCCCAGTGATTTCACCGAGGAGTGGATATGACACCATCATTTACTGATCGCTTTCCTTTCCGCTTGCCAGGGATGTTCTGTTTTTCCAGTGGACCTTGGCATATACAAAACAGCGAGGAATTTTTCTAATCTTTAGCTTGCTTGCCGGAAATACTACTTCAGGAAAGAGACTGTAAAGTAGGTAGTTTGTACATTTCGCAGCACTCGCTATTAAAGGAGAACTGGTCATTTGGAGGGGCGCCTCTTACCAGCAGGCTTCGTTAGAGCTCGCCCTTCCTTTCCCATACCTGTCTAACTTCCAAAAAAAATGTCGCCCGAACCGGGAAATTCTTCAATGTCCATCAAAGAAACAATCTTCTCACCTTTTTCCCCAAAAACTAAATACTCTCTCCCTCTAGTGGCGTCTATTCGTAGCGGATGTCCTCATTCAGTACTGTCTACAGTTCATAATTTCATGCTTACCAAATACGACCATTTGCTGCTTTCGGAAATTTTGCTGCAGGAGAGTTGAAAGATTTTCCCTCTCAGCATGTAATCTGATTTTTATGTAGGTTCCAGTCCTACCACTAGTGCCAGACCATGTATACGCCGTTGAGATATACTTAAGTAAGGGATATAGGTAATAAACGCGCAACCAATAGTTATCTTTTCCGTGCAGACCCGGAATCCCAAATTTAGTATGCCTAGGACATCGACAATTTCTAGTCTTAGCCATTCTTTTTTGTTTTCGACAAATTTGTACTCAACTTTTTTTTTTGACCGATCGACAGTAGTCATTTTATTAAATGATTTCGAAAAATTAAATCTTTCCAAAAATATTGGTTTTCCATACCAAAGCGTTGTTCAAAGTTATTGTCAACTAATCATACAATGCTCTTTGCAATGTGGGTGCGTTTGCTATTTCTAAGTCACATTTTCTTTTCCAAATAAACTTCAGATTTCTTTCTTTCGGGCCTTTTAGGGATGTGCTGTGCTTGCAATAAGCTGCTGTAATTGTTAATAATTCTTTACAAGTAGTTGTTCTATTTTTTCTAGGTATTTCTCATGCTTGGTCCTTTTAAAACGTGCTGTGCTTGTGATCATGTATTACAATTGTTAATAAATTTTTACAAAGCCTTATTTTGGTGTTATTTTAATGGCGTCTTGAAAAATTAGAGCCATTTTCCCAAACAAACATTCCATCAAAAGTTGTCGTACGAGTGCTGAATGTACTCCAGTAGGGGGTTCAACTTGTTAGGTGCAGTACGGGGNGGGGCTGTACGATGTTCATCGCCACAGCACCCTCCCATTCCTTGCCCCGTCTCATATTCTCAGGCTAATTGTTCAATAAGTCCTTATCCTATTGAGGAACAGCTCATTCCGCGCCTCCTCGTGAAAAGCACCCAATAAGACCCCTGGTAAGAATTTCAGATCCCCATTTCAGATCAGATCAATTTCAGATCCGGGTTATATCTATAGAAGTGTATGGTGGTGAGAGGAAATGCTTTCTGTGAACAGGCTTGAAGCTAGACTTTTCTGTTATGGGTCACTAAATCTCAACGGCAAACACAGCCGACGACAACCACAGTCAGCGATCACTCCAAAAACGTCGTGGAGAATTTTGTTGACTGACCATACATAGTGTACCTACCTCAACGGCTGCCATTAAGCGATCAGGGAAAAATGACAGGTTGTTGACAGCCTGGCTACTGTTATCACAGAACACAAAAAGGTCATTTCTGAGGAAGGGGCGAATCGATGTTGACCGATTGGTCTTTTGAATTGTGCCATAGATTCAACTTCCACCCAAAAGCAAGAACTTCCTCGGTTTGTAGACTTCACTGAGGTGGTATTTTGGACCACAGGCGCTACCCACCTGCTTGGTATGAGAGTGGAAGTCGCGCGAAGCCCATTCTGACTTGACCCTGATGCTTATGATGGGTTGTTTGATGGGTACGAAAATTTTGTGCATTAATCAGCGCAGCTTACTTATATCATGAACTCATACATACAACTGTTACTGTGAGCCAGCCATTGCTCGAATCGGTGTTTGTCATCCCTGAATAATTCTACAATAACCATCCCCGATAGACGGAAAAGCTAACTGGATTGTATCAATAGCTAGCGTCCCTCATCTCGGAAGCTATAAGTTGTAACGAGGATCCACTTTTTGATGGAGCAAGTTCTGCACCCTGCCCACTCTCCTCTTACAGGGATTCTTCATAGGTTTGCCTCTTCTTGAGTCGGCTATGGCACATCCTCGTACTATGCAGAAGAGGGTCTGAGGGATAGAGTTGGTGATGTCGTGCGAATCCCCGGAACCCGAATGTACCGCAACCTTCCCTTTTTGAAACGAGCCATGAGCGTCCCTTCCAGGTTTTCCCATGACTATCTCCGCTCCATCGCCCCAAAAAATGAGCTGCAGGAAAAAANAAAAAACTCGGACGAAAACATTTCTCCGTCGAGGAAAATGGCTGACTCTGGCTCTGACTCTTTTTGACTCGCATGTGTCTGATCTTGCAATTATTCGACTCAGTTGACTTCTATCTTCCTCAACAACAGTTTTCTTTCTACTTGACGATCTTACAATAACTTCATTCTTTTTAGACTAAAATGTTCTCAACCTCCTCCCCTAGGTAGTCGAAAACTACCGGAGCAACGAGTGCTGCGAGTGGAAGTATCCCACAACGTCGACATAATCTTATTTACTTTTTAGCAGCTCAAAATGTAAATGTGAATGGAAAGGGGTTAAAATGCCTAATCGGTCATCGTAGAGAAGTGGATGACCTCAGAGGAGTATTCTTTCTCTGGAAAGGGATGACCGGATGCCGACGGAAACCTCTTGACGGTCGCTTTTTCTCACCGACTGGTAACCGTATACTCCGCCAACAACCTGTCATTCTTCGATCGATCTTGTAGTTCTTCAGTTTTGCGCGATTCCTCTGCGGTCACTTTGGGTAACTCGATCCATATATAAACAGACCAATCTAATTACTGTAATCCGGAAACTATCGCGCACTGGATACGGTAAATAGTCGGCTCGTCAAAAGGCCGACCTTAGTCGCTGCCGTGCGGTCCTTTACGTACAGTTATGGCGGATTTATGATATCAGTGGCTATTAAAACTCTCTCGGTATATCTTACCGCATCTAGGTAGTCATTGGAATGCATAGGATGAATCCAGAGATGGGACTTCGATCAACTTGAGTTTTGTATCAACAAAATTCAGATTCTGATAGGTACAATCTTACATTCGCTGAGAAAGAGGCCCTTTTTATAGAAGAAAGTGAAAGCGCACTTCGCTGATTAATTTCCCTACAGTTTGCGCCATGCTCGCTGAAAATTCCGTGATTCCCTGCAGAACAAGAGGCTTTTGAATAGACAGAGGGACTTGAACTCTTCAGAGTAGGTGTTTCAGATGGTGGAAGGAACTGAAAGCCCTTTGTGCCTTCAGGTAAGCCCCTACCCTACCTTTTCTGTCTTCTTGAAATTCCTGAATACTTCGACACATACATTTTCGTTTCTATAGAATTCTGGATTTTCGTAGGGATCACATTTCGAAATATGTCTTGATCCTGCCAAGAATTCACCGAAACTGCCAGGGAGAATAACACCATTTCGCAATCCACAAGTACTACGGCTATCCCTTTTCGTGTCCCACGTGATCAGGGCGTTCATAGGAACCCCATCCACCTCGTGATTCCAATCTGAGCCCTCGTGCCGTAAGTCATCCATGTGTGCAAATGGTATTCTGTGCCATCCATTCAAAATTTTTAACTTACTCGCGATCCATTATGTACTACAAGTTCTCTACGCCATTTACTTTGTTAATGATTACCTCCAGTGATGACAAGTTGTAAATGATGATGAACATTCGAGAAAAGGTGATGAACATTCTTTTTCATTCTCTCACGTCTTATACTTTCAGCTATGAGTGATAACGATTCGGCACCTTCTTCTTCTGAGAGCAACCAAAGCGAAAAAAGTGGTGGAGGTACGTGTTTTCTACCCAGCTTATGTTTCTTTCCCAGATGAAAAAATGAAATGAACTGTTTGTTGAATTGGAGTCAAATGCATGAGCGATCTTTGCGGAGTTGTCAAAAACTGGGGGCTTTACTGTAGCGAGAACTGATATTTTTGAAGCGCTTAAAGCTGTACACCAGTAGTAATCATTTGTTCTTGGAGCTACGCCCTTATTTGTCTCCACTAGGGATGACGCTATGGCAAGGACAGACTGGGATCAGCTGTTGTTAGAGTTCTTTGAATACACACCCAACACACCCAGAGACGGTTGTGCTAATACATACAAGCGGGTATTGATAAAAGAATGATTGGCGAAAATGGGTTCCCATCCTGCAACGACTTCTTGGACCTCGGGGTTTGAGGCTAGCCCTTGGTCTCCGTCCCCGTATGGTACCCATGGTACCAAGGTGTCGTTGCAGGAAGAGAACAATCCCTCAACGGTCTCAGCAACCATACACATCTGTTCTCTTTATTCTCGTCCTATCGACTTTGCGTTCAGATCCTTTATCTGGAGAAATCGATCATACCAATTTTCTCTCAGACAACATGGGAGTTCTTTTTGGAAATCCGAACCTTTCGGACGTGACATTCATGGTAAACGGGGAATTGTTCCCGGCTCACAAAGCAATTTTGGTTGCTCGAAGTGAATACTTCAGGTAAAAATAGTTTTTTCTTCACCATAGTCATGTGAGGGGCATATCCATGAAAGCTTTCTAGAGCAATGTTCTTTGGAGGAATGAAAGAAAGTGAAGAAGCAGAAATTATTCTCAAGGAGAACAACGGTTACGCGTTTCGTACTCTTTTGAGGTGGACATTTTATTTCTATTAGAGTTTAGTTTTTTTATAGGTAAAATCAGTTGTTGCTTTCTAATCCTATCTTTAGGTACATTTACACCGCCAAGCTCTCCTTAAATGAACTCGAGGAAAACCAAGTCCTGGATTTCCTCGGCATCGTGAATAAATATGGATTTTCCAAACTTCAAAATTCAATTGCTGAGTACCTAAAGGTAGTCCCATGTTTTCTTGTATTTCTAACAATAAGCATCATAAGTTCATAAGACTTTGAAAAAACTTTGTATTTTACTGTGCGAATTCTATGAGAGCTTTCAAAAAGTTTTTTTCGTGTGATTTTTAGGAAATTGCCAATGTCAAAAACGTCTGTGCAATATACAGTACCTCACAGACATACTGTATCGATGATCTCATGGAACATTGTCTTTACGTCGCGGATCGCAATGCTTCTGAAGTGCTTACCACACAGGTACAAACAGTTCATCCTTTTTTGTCATTAGTTTAAGTTTTTCGTATTTATGAGAAAATGGCCTGAGTGACCTGTGGAAAGGGCCTTATGGGCGAAAACAAGATCTAAAATTAAATGCTATTGAAGGAGGATTCCTTCAGCTTCATATTGGAGCACTTGCCGAGGTTATCGGCCAAGTTTCCCTTGTCCGGAAGGATAAAGTATTCCAACTTCAATCACTTCCAATCCGGTAAACGCCTACCTTTTTGACTTCCATTCAGAATCGTACCAACGTTTGAAAGCACCCAGCACCTACCCCATCCCTACAATTCACCGAATTCTGAGGTACCCTTGCTTTGGGTCTGAACGGTGGTTTAGTGGCAACTACGAAATGGTCAAGGTTCGAACCCTTATTGAAAAGAAGATCTGACGGTAATTTGACCATCAAAAACAATTCATGATGATTCGATATACCCGTTCGGTTACTCCTAAGAAAGCCCTTCTCAATATGTAGGTTACCTCTACCTCGATATTTAAGTTACCTCTACATAGTGCTGTGGGGGTGCCCCCTTGTGGTGCAATGAAGCACAGCGGAACATTTGTCTTCAAGCTTTTACCGGATCTCATTACTTTTCTAATTTTTCCTTTAAAGTTGTGGTTGCAACTTCCAACTTTCTATATTTCAGGGATTCCTGCATTTACCTATCACCGAGGTTACCCAGTTGGTATCTCGCGACTCGTTTTTTGCTCCTGAAATCACTATTTTCCGTGCAATACAGAACTGGGTACAAGCCCATCCAGAAATGAAGGTAATATATTAGATAGGTTCGATTATCGGTCTCATCGTAACGTTTTCCATTCTAGGCCAGTGCTGTAGAGCTGCTCATGAAGCACTTACATCTCTCACAAATAA